AATACTTATATATGCCATTTAAGAGAAAACATTTCGTTGTTTACAACTATTTATAAATGGTTAATTTGTCTTGAGAAATGGTGGAGCAATATTACAGAATATTCGAAAAGTTTTAATTTTTTTTATGTTAAATGACGTCTGGTCCGGCTATTTTGTTCACTAGTATATAAATATATATGTATATGCAGACTCCATCAAACCATCAATAAAATTTATCCCATGATGTGATATCTCACTTAAATTTTAGTACTAGAAAAAGTGCAGAACATATTGGTCAAAGTAGAATGTCTCAGCCAAACTCTAATTGATTTTCAAAATTTATAGCTAATTAAAAACAAAACTGCTTACGGCTTCTTTCTTATATATGTATGTACATTGAAGTGGCCCTTATTTTTGAAAATCGGAAATTTGCGGGTGCTACCCCTTGAAATGGTTACCTTTATTGAAAAAGTAATTCCCTAAAAATTTTGCCTCAGTTAATGAAGTCTAACCCGTGCCACAAACGGGTCGAAGTTGAGATAAACACAGTATCATTTTGCGTCAGTGCTGCCTTTGGCTAGCCTTATTAGTGGCATTTGCACGGTTACTATTGTATAAAACATAGCGTGATGCAAAACAAAATAATTTTGTTCACCCCATCATTTATAAATAAATGGACAAGTAATTTTTAAGCAAAAAACAACACCGACTTCATTTCTCATATAGAAATTTAAGATTATCGGTAATTTCTTCATGATCCAATGATCGGATTTAAACCAAATTAGTATGGAAATCGGTTAAGGTCCAAAGTTATGCGGTAAAATACGTAAAAAAAAATATTCCGAAGAATTGATAATTGATAGCCTTCGCCTTTTTGTGAAGTCGGTTAAAAATAAGTTTGATTTTGTTCCTTTAAAATATGTATGTATATTTAGGACAGTAGAAGATAATAACGCACAGAACCACGATACATGGTTCATTATTCCAACACGTTTGTGACATGGGTTAATCTGGGTCAATTGAGTCAATATTAAATGATAAATATTTTCTCCTTATATGTAACAATTTCAGGGGGTAGCACCTCAAAAAACTAAAAAACAAAAATTTTAAATATACTTTTCATTTCATTTTAAGCTAGAAAACGCGGTTTTGTACATTTATCAGTTTTGAATGACTATTATTTATTAAATTTTAAAGATCGACATGTTGTGAGAAGAGGATTTATAGGCCTTTAAAAT